TTATTTTAATATTATTTTAATCAATTTATGTCTTTTTTTAAAAAAATTAAAAATTAGTGATTACCCAAAATACCTCTGTTGACTTGATCAAAATATGGTCGGGCCAAGATTCTCCAAATGTTAAGGGCCCAAAAAAGTAAAAAGGACTAATTAGTGTAAAAGACAAATGTAATGGACCAAATGAGTAAATTGTTAATGTAAAGGACCAAAGTAAGTTTTCTGTCAAATGTAAAGCACCATTTGGGCAGTTTACTCCTTAGTACAAAATTAAGTTAATTAATTAAGTGTCATTTTAGTCCTGAAGTTAAGAAATAGTAAAATATATTTTTTGGTGATCTTTGACCAAGTCAATAGCTGGAATTTGCTAATCGGATGGCGGAATGATGAAATTGGCCGAATTATAATACATAGGGATGAAGTTGACACTCTCCTAATATAGTAGGATGAAATGGAAGTCTTGCTGAAAGTTGAGGACTAATTTGACACTTTTTCTAACATTTTCGTGTAAGAATAATAAAAAAAAAGAACAAATTCGTCCACAGAGCTCTTTGGATAGATCTCTTTGAATAGCACAATAAAATTCATACATAATACGTTTACGAATTGTTAATGGATTATAAGGAGATACTAGATTATTTTAAAATTCTGAATACTTTTTTACATTTTACTAAATACCTAAGTGTTTTGGATAGTACAAAAAGGTAATATCTCACCTTATCTCGCCGTTTGAAAGAAGAATTGTTAGCAAACTTAGAAGTTCAAAGGTATTCTCAGTGATCGTGTGGTAACATTCTCGCTTCATTTGGATTTACATGAAAGAATTTGGGCTGAAGAGCCCCGGAAGCGAAAATACAATAGTCCGGTTCAGTTTCTAATAATTGTGACATAATAAAGTGAAAAGTTAATAACTTCTTTGTTTCAAAACTTATTGTTCAGTTTAAATTTTTATTTTTTGTTTCAATTGTACTGAAAAGAAAAATTCAAACTGAACAATCATTTGGAACTAAGAAAATAGGTGAAATAGGAGGCAACAAAGCTCATATCTACACTAATAAAACTGGAATTGGGGCCTTCGAGTCCGAGTGAAGTCGAACTTCAAGGGGGGTGAAGGCTAAAAGAAACTAATTAGACTAGATGTGCGAAGCTGAACAGGTTGATGATGCTCAAATGAGTTGCATTGAACTTTCTACACATTCAATTAGGGTTAGAGACATATTCTATTCAATTATATTTAGAGAAATTCGAGGGTCCCATTTACAATTTTGAGGGTATAGTCCCGTTATAAGTTAACCAATAATATATTGACACATCAATATAACATTAAATCACCTAATTTTTAACTTTTGTATAACTTAGTAAACAGGTAACCTGACCATAACATCAACTAAACTTACCAAAATTTTAAAATATGAATAATTTAGGAAAGTTTTTAGCATTTAAAATAACAAAATCACTATCATTTAATAATTAAGTTTCTTTATTTATTTTTTATATTGCAAAAAAACTTTCGTGTGATTGCACAATAACTTGTAAAACATTGCAATGCATAATATTGCACCATCTTTTATCTATGCATTTATTGTTTCTTCATATAATAAGGGATATACAAGCATTGCATCTTTGATGATTCTATTGCATGTGTAAGAAAAACACATTGCACATTCACTTTCAATCAATTGTACTATACAAAATTTACCATAATTCATAATTAATTTTCCTTATTTTATTTTTGTATTGCACCAACATTTAGGTGCAATTGCACATTTGCTCATAAAAACATGGAATAACCCTCTGACTTTTGTCTCAAATCCCGAGCCTCCGTGTTTTTATCGAAGGACATTTGCCTCTCTGAGTTATATCCATAAGACCATTACACCCATTCGACAAGTAAAAAGACAATAATGCCCTCACACTTGTGGGTCGAAATTTTTTTCCAGTTTCTTTTCCTTTTTTCCAAAAATTTATTTATTTTAATTATGTTTAGTTCAGTTATTGTTTTCTTTTTTAATTTTTTTACTTTATTCAGTTTAATTATTTTTAGTTATGTTTTTTTTAATTTTTAAATTTTTTTCTACTTTATTTAGTTTAATTGTTTTTGTTCAGTTTTTCTTTCTTTATAATTTTTTTAATTTTAATATTTTAATTAAAAAATAGATAAAAAATATAGTTCGTTTTGCCTAAATATATTCCGCATTTGTAAAATGATATTTCATGCTATTGTTATTTTCTCAGTTTTCTTTGAACTCTAGATATCTCTCAATGAGAATTAATTAATTCATAAAAAAAGAAAGAAAAACTGAACTAAAAATAATTGAACTGAATAAAGTAGAAAAAAATTAGAAAAGTATAAAATCTGGATTAAAAATAACTAAATTAAATAAATTTAAAAAATTTTAAAAAAGGGAATTTTTTTTTTTAAAAAAAAGCAAAAACCCTTTAAAAAAACTAGGCTCCACGCATGTTGAGGGCATTATAGTCTTTTCGCGTATCAAAAGGTTGTAATGATCTTATGGACATAACTCAGGGGAGTAATTGTCCTTTGGTAATTACAGGGGGTGAGTGGGGTTTAGGGTTTGGGACAAAACTCAGGGGATAATTGTCCTTACCCCTTAAAACATCACTAATATTGATACATGATTGCAGATTAGTTCAATTAATATTGCACCATCTCTTATATAAGTTTATTTTTTTAATTTTAATTTGTTTTTACAATTTTGCGCATAAAAACCTTACAATTTTGCTTTGAGCGATTATTTACCACTTTCGTTTTGATTTCTTTATTATAATAATATATTTTAATCATTGGACATTTGTGTGTATGTCATTTCGCATTAAAGAAAAATATATTCCCTTTTCACTCGTAGCAACATGAAAAGAATGGTCATTATAATACAAAATGCCTACAACCAAGGTGTGACAGTGATGCAAGCCAATTCAACTAATACGGGTGACTTAGGCAGTGAATGTTTGGATATTTATCAAAATTTCATGTTTGTCAAAATTTATACAGGTTGTTGCTTACATTTAACTAATGAAGTTTTTTTTGTTTCCTTAATTGGTATTATGGGTTGTTAGAGAATTCTTCTGAGTTCCATGAAACTGTAGTTAAGTCTAATTGCAGAGGTAACTTTTTTTTTTCTCTCTCAAATGTAAGAAGGACGAAAATTTTGTTGGATGATGATTATTCTCTTTTTCTACATGAAGAGTAGCCCGAACTTTTATGGCTCTATTTCTAAGAAACAAAGTACAGAAAAAAATTAACTTTTGCCAAACGATTGACTTAGAGATTAGTTGTTCAGACCTTTTGCCAAAAAATTATCATACCTGAAACTTGAAGCCCTTATAACTACAAACCACCAAAACCCTCAAATTAGAAAATTTTAACAACCACGATTGGAAACCTCCTCCACCGGTATATCCATAAGATTGATAAAGTTAATTTCGACAAAAGAAAAAACTGTAATCGATGCATGGATTCTTCTAAACTTCATCTTCAATTTTCTTTTCACTCAAATGCTTAGGGCATAAATAAAGTAAAAGTCAGAAATAGTGAATAGAAAACCTTTTACAATTAAAATTGTAGCAAATTAAAAATTAAACTGATCATTCGACGAAAAAAAAAAGCCAATCAGAATTGGTAAAACTGTTCCAGGCTTTGAACTATAAAAATAGACCGGCACTAGAGAGAAGAAGAAAGAGAGAGAGCAGAAGGAAAAAAAAATGTATGTTTGATGTTGAGGGAGCAAAAGAAGACTCCAATTAAAATAAACCATAAATAAGTTTAAACTTTAACCGGTTGTCTGTATGATGTTTTGGAATTTTTTTCATTTAATACAAATTCTTAGGCTGTGATTAATTTAGACTAATCTACTGGTTATTAATTAAATAATAGGACCATATTCTCAAAATTGACAATGAATTTTAGTTTTACCCATTATATTTAATCAACTAACACTCTAACCTACTATTGAAATATCACCATACATGTTCAAGTACAAGACCAGAAATATTTGATCTTAATTTTATCACGAGCCTAAAACATAGATGGTCCTCATCTAGTTATTTCTTGCCAAACGGGGAACACAATGGATACTCAACCGGGGGGGTCAATGCAATTTTTGGGTATGCTTTAACTTTATAATAAATTCAGTTTTATGATTATGACTTACCTTTTCTTTTCTCTCTCTTTTTTTTTATTTTTATATTTTTGTGAACAGGGAGTTAACATTAGTTGCAAAAGAAGAAAAAAAGTCCCTTTTTAAACTCGATGTCAAGTTACCATTATCTTTATTTTAAAAGTAACCTATCACATCAATATTAATGAATATTTGATTTTTTTTTTCGAAACTTTGAATTAAAACAAACTAGTTTTCAAAAAATTAAACTTCACTCAAATCCAAAGGAAAAATAAATGGAAAATAAATAATGCTCAACCTTAGAAGCGGACTACGAACTACACTATTGGTTTTTAGTTTCTTATTTTGTGCATTCTTTATTCAAGTTTACCCCTCATTTGGTACTCACTCTTATGCACCTATAACATTATGACATTTTATTAATGGAGGCTACAGTTAACCTAAAAAAAGATACTACTTTTGTCCAAAAAAAACAAATCCACATTAATTTTACACTGATTTTACTACAAATTTGAAAAAACTCATATGGTGTATTTCTTTTTAATGACAAAAGTAGTAATAATGATAGTTGTATACAACCAACGTACGAATGTTAGGTAAGGACTAGAAAGCATAAATTAATTTGATACTTTATTTGATTATTAATATTACCCAATGCATAAAACTAACATTATGCGATTAGTGACGGAAATATGAGTAGAATATGGACTACAAAACCTAACCAAATATTAAAAAAAAAATAGGGGAAAATAAAAAGTTCAATGCTTTAAAACCCTAGATCGTCACTTTTTGAATACTATAAATAGAGGTGATCCTTTTGCTATTTGAAATAAGCTAAACATTTCTTTTTCACCAACAAAGGAAATGGCACAAAAATCTTCACTATCATCATCATTGTCCATCAAACTATGTTTCACTTTCATGCTGGCATTCTTAGCCTTTTCCGCCACGGCAAACCCTCGTCCTGCACATAAGGAAATAAAGATGACCTTGTACCAACAAGATATCTCTCCGGGAGCACCAAATGCGACCGGTATTGTTGTTGCCGGTCCAACAAACTTGGCTTTCGGTTCCATCGTCGTCGTTGATGATCGCGTAACTGAAAGGGCATCAAACAATTCACGCCAAGTCGGAAGAATACAAGGAATTTACGTGACCGCATCACGAGATTCACAAAGCATCAATGTTTATTATAGTTTAACTTTCACCACCGGAGCGTTCAATGGTAGTACCTTGGAAATCCAAGGACGAAGCTTGAAATTAGGTAAGGTAAGAGAATTTTCTATAACCGGTGGAACCGGAAAGTTCCGGTTTGCCACGGGTTATGCCACTTTCGAAACGATATTTCTTGACCTGACCACTAACTATAACATCGCAAGGATCAACCTCACGGTTGTATGTGTTTGCTATTGAGGGGAGATTGAGGATAATTATAATTGGCCGCTGGTTATTTAATTTGGTATCTTTTATTAATTCAGTTCCCTAAATAAATTAAGCCAGCTTGATTGCTGTTGTAATGACTATACTACTACATGTTTATAAGGAAAATAAAAAGCCAGTTTATTTGCCAATGTAATCAAAATTTGTAAAAGTCAATGAAATATTAAGATCGTTTGTAAATGTCATCGGACTTCTACTTTGGTTTCATGATTTCATACCAAATTTTTTTATTTTGTCGTTCTTTACTTAACGCTTTCTCTATGTTGATACGTTTGATATTCGTAGAGTTATGTTTTATTAAACAAGAAAAATGCCCTTGAGTAAGAAAAATTTAAAACAAAAAGGAAGTGCGAATAGAATAGGATGTGAGAGGCAGTTAAATGATTTGGGCGTGTACGCACTTAAAAAAACTTGTAAACACTACACTTCAAATAAATTTATAAAATTACTTGTCCAAATTACGAGTAGAGATGTGTGTAAAAATTAAATAATTTTCCATTGCCGGTAAAATTTATATTTAAAATAAAAATTGAAACTGGATAATTACGTTAGGGTTTGGAAATAGTACTATATATTGTAAATGAGTTAAAAATTTGAATGAGAATTTGATTTCTCAAGTTGGAAAAATGAGACTTAAGCATAAAGACTTTGTCCCACATTAGAGTTGAGAAGAGTTGGAGTTCATTTATAAGTGAGAGCCAAAAAATAGAGTGCAAGTTGTCTTGCCATTACTATACTCCATATCTCCTACTCGCGTATGCCCACGCAGGGGGGGTGCAAATGAGCATCCGATTCGAGGTCAAAATAGCTTGACTCATGTTTGCGCGCGACCTGGGGACACAAATGCCGGACTGAAACCTTGTAGGCCTGATTAACCCGAGTTTTTGTGCATTAATTTTTCCAGCCAAAATTTGAAATTGAGAGTTGCGCTCATTCATTTCAGTTAAATCAAAACTGAAACGGTGCATTTGATTTGCAACCTTGAATGAGCAGGATGAATAGGCCGATTAATTCTATTAAAAGGCAGAAATAAATTCATTCGATTGTTGGGATGGTCAAAAACGGTTTGGAGGTTTATGTGCCTTGAATTCTTTGCATTTAACAAAATTAAAATGATAAAACCGTTGCAAGATTTCCTGCCATTTAAAAGGTCTTTCAAACCAATAAATAGGCACTCATTTTCTAAAGTTCAACACACCAATTCTTCTTCATCTTCCTGTATTCTTTCGAGCCTTTCTATCTTCTCTCTTTGGTGTCATCTTCTTGTTCTAAGTTTTCATTTATTGGTACAGTTTTTTTTGTGCTAAATAGCTTCTACGTTTCTGTTATATCCTAGGAAACAGTTGCTCGAGATCTTCAAGCACTATAGGAGGGGGCAAATTTATTTTAAGGAGATCGTGTTCTCACGAGTCTCATATTTCTTCTTTTCTGATTTTTCTTAGCGTTTGCGAATACTTCTCATATTTCATCCAACACTATATATATCATATCGAGTGAGGTAACAATTTCTTGTTGTTGAAGATGCCGCCCTTATGACGATGCAAACCTTAACCTTTTCTTTCAATATGCTGTCAGAATCCCATAACTCTACAAGCCTATAACATTTACTTTGTGACTTAAAAGATTATTGTTTATGTAACAAATTTTTTTTCATAAAACATAAGTTACCATAAAAAATGTGTGCCTCGTGAACTCCTGTGGATTCACTATTATAACTTTAATGATTAATCTTTGACTGCACTCTGCAGTGAGAATAGTTTGGTTAATTGTGGATATTGATCCTACCTTTATGTTAAACCAAATTTCTTTTTATTGTACTAAACTAATTTATTTAATTTGACTTTTATTTTAGGACGGAGAAAATATTATATTTTCTTTCTCATTTGTACCTTAATTTGATTGAGAATATTTATTAAATGGAAAAAAAAGAAATTTAAAAAATAGATAATACTGCTCCGGTTGGACTGTCTTTCAGTTCTTTTTTTTTTTTTTTTTTTTGGAGTTATTAGGCCACAAATTAATATTCATCCTCCCCATGTTTTTTTCTCTCTTTTTTTTTTTGTTTTTTGTTGAAGTGATTGACAGAATTTGAAATTGAGAAGAATAACTTCAGTATGTTGAGTGTTTGGAGCGGAGAGAAGAAGAAGGGTCTGAGATTTGGAGTTGATGAGAAAAAGGGGATCTGAACGTATGCGCGGTGATGGGATGGAGGGAAAAGTCACAGTTTAGAATATCAGGGGAATAGAAATTCATACAAAATAGAAATCTGAACGTACACTTCAATCCTTTTCAATTCGCTTGATACTAAAATAGCTTAAGGTCATGATCTTGCATTGCAACTGTTCAAATAATATTGCCTGCACTAATTTCCATGAATCGTCGTAGTAATGTTAGAAATTACTTTTTTTCACCAATAAGCTCCATCTTCTTGACAATAATGGTTGCATATTTTAAAAAGCTCCAAGTCCTTTGGCAATGTGATCAAAATTGGGCTTCATTCCTTTCGCTTGTCCCGTACCGCAAGTAGATATTAGGGCTGTTAATTCGGGTGGGTTTGGTCGATTCGGGTGAAATCAATTTGAATTAATCGATTTTTTTTCTCAACACACCCGTCCAAAACCTAACCGCAAAACCTAACCGCAACATATATAGCACCGAACTGCATCGGTTTGGTTTTGATTCTCCTGCATAATTTTCTTTTTATTTTTCTTTTCTTTTTTTTGAGAAAGTCATCAAGATACTTTCTCAAGATACTTTCTCAGTTTCTCCTCCAAAGAACTAGACAGCAAAAACTTATTTTCAAAGAAACAACAGCACAAATACAATAAATGCATATTATTCCCACAAGATCCTTTCAAAAAGAATAAAAAATATGAAAAAAACCAAACAAATACATGTTAGAATAGGTCAGATCTGGGCGATTGTTACTGTAATCCAAAATATATATATATATATATATATATATATATATCTTTCATCATCCCGCTTGAAATCATGGCAAGGTACTATAATAGCTTGAAGACTTGAAGTCGAAGCCGAAATCTGAAGGAGAAGATAAGACGAAGGAGATTGAGAAGAAGGAGAAGAGAGGTAGAAATTGCCTTTAAAAAAAAAAAAACAGAACCTCGAAAGCAGAGAGGTAGAAATTACCCGAATGAACAAGTAGACTGGAGGAGCGGGAGACAATTGTGAATCGGTCGCGTAAGTCAGGAACTTGGCTGGGATGTCTACATATGAGAGAAACCAGAGAAGGAGGGAGGGCCAGATCTAAAAGGGACAATCGATTGATTGTCGAATTGATGGTCAGCTGGATTGTTTAAGGAAGTTGACCGGCGAAATGAAGTGAAAAAACGGCGAATTCGTCGGTCGGATTGTGGTGGAAGTGAAGGGAAGGGACGGCGTCTAGGCGGCAGCAACCAAAAAAAACAGAAAGAAGAAGAGGTTAATTGTAAATGAGGAAGAGGAGGAAGCTGAAAACCTACTTACCATATACATATTTACATTTAAAAAAAATTTAATAATAATAAAATCGGGTTTTGGGTGGTGTCCGAACAAAAATACTCTCACCCGCACCCGCACCGATTTGTGACTGCGGTTTACCGGTTGAATCGTAATCACCCAATTCAACCAATTAACCGACCCGTTTCTACTAAATCGGGTTCGGTGTGGGCGGGTTTTCGGTTTGACCTGCTTAAGTAACAGCGCTAGATATTTTTGCCATAAATGGAAAATGATCAGAGATTGGAAACTCACTTGATTGGTTGAAACTGGTCCACAATTTGGAGCTAATTTACCCAATAGCTCAAGTATGCGGTGAATTCAATTACCTACCTTTTAAGGTTTCTTCCATTGTTCTCTCCAAACCCTTTAAACTTTTATGTTCTGAGAGGCTAACTCTTGTGCTCCCCGCTGCAGAACTTTCCGACTAACTTCAAGTTCTGCTCTTCGAATTTTGGGCATAGCAATCCACTCTACTGAAGTAGCCGTTGAAATTCTCATTCGTTCATTACACATCTAACACAAGACTTTTATGCAGAGATCTTGAAAAGCCAAACTTCTTCAAAGTAGAAAGTCAATTATATTTTTCAGTGGTTCCATATAATCAACAGCTTCTACCAACTCATAGTTCATCAACAACATTTCCTACAAGAGCTTCATTACTCAAAACACCAATGATCCTTGCTTAGGATCAAAACTCCATCGCAGTTCTTTGATGACAATGAAATTGAAAATTCATGGAAGCAGCTGGATAAGTAATTTTCTTTCACGAACAACACCTTAGCCTTACCTTAGAAAAATTGACTCTTTCATAAACTTTCTGGATGGGAATCTGAACTAGAAGACAGCTATAAAACATTTGACAAATGACATGAATTTCAAAAGAATTTCCATCCCAGTTAAGTTCCTGAGTTCCTACTTGAAAAAAATGAAGTTTCCAAAGCTTTCACCAAAACACATACATGTCCCAAGTTAAACTTCTTTCCTACCATAAGCAAGTAAATCAGCACCAAAATATTATACGCATAAGATTGTTCCTTGACTATGAGCCCAAACGTGCAGGCATAATGATAGGATAAGTGAATCTTAAACATGTTCCGTAACCATTGTTCATTTATGGATGATGCAGAATGTTTAAAAATTCATACCCACTTGTAGGTTCTTAACTTACTTATTTTTGAAATAATCTCAATCTTCGCATCCATAAATATATCATCCTTTACTTCCCTGACAAATAGTATTGAACCATAAAGATTCACTTGAACTAAATACTTCATGGATATCAATATAACCCCCTCCTTAATTTCAAGCTAGTGACCTTTACAACTCGTCAATCATACTTGTTGTTGGGTGTGCTACGTGCTCATTTCCACCAAACATTCTGTCGTTTCTACAATGTCTACTTGATCAACTTAAACCAAAGTTCATGAATCATAACACTTATTCTTTCTTTGAAACTAATAGGTGCCCCAAGC